CCAAAATGGTATTTTTGGATCGAGGACATCAAGAAGTATATGTGTATAAAATTTCAAGTTAATCGGACTCCGTTTGGGTGGTCAAAAGGGGCGTTGACCGCCAAGTCAACTCCCATACCCGACCGGGTATTGACACATACCCGACCGGGTATTTGCTGAAGAATTGCCCAGGGGGCTACTGTCTCCTATACCCGATCGAGTATAGGTAGATACTCGATCGAGTATACATTGAAAATTAGCTTTGGGGGCTACCGCCTCCTATACTCGACCGAGTATGGGTAGATACTCGATCGAGTATTGGTTTATGCTCAAAACGGGCAGTTTTGAGCGGGTTATTGTGGGCCGTTCAGGTGGGACCCGCCCACGTTGGTTCCTAAGGATGGTTATATGACTATAGGGCTAGGTATTGTCCATAGTTGAAGGAACGAAAGGTTAGCCATATCCAGGTTAGGGTTTGGTAAGGATTTAGTTTGGGGTTGAGTATCCCCGGGACATTAGATGATCCTGAAACTCGGTTGGGGTTGAGCATCCCCGGGACTATAAATGATCCTGAAACTCGGTTGGGGTTGAGCATCCCCGGGATATTAAATGATTCTGAAACTCGGTTGGGGTTGAGCATCCCCGGGACCATACATGATCCTGAAACTCGGTTGGGGTTGAGCATCCCCGGGACTGCAAATGATCCTGAAACTCGGTTGGGGTTGAGCATCCCCGGAACAATTAATGATCCTGAAACTCGGTTGGGGTTGAGTATCCCCGGGATGCTAAATGCTCCCAAAACTCGGTAGGATATTATGAATGTAGAATGTAGCTGGTGAGCTAGGCATTCGGGAAAAGGGTGAGAAAGGTCAGGTAAGAACTTTATCTCTAAAAGACTCCTTGAATGAAATGACCTACGGGTCGAGTATTTTACATATATATATATAGTATGTATCATCGGATGAATGAGTCACATATATATATGTATCACCCTATTTTTGGGTCTCGTGTCTGAAACATTAGTTATTCTTCATATAGCCTGCTTGTCACTAGTAATTCTATGGAGTACTGACCCCTCCGGGGGCCCTCACATTTTTCCGGTTGAGGCTAGAGTCCTACTACCTGCACCTTTGCCTAGGGTGATTGATCGAGAAGGAAGACGTGGTTCGTGCTTCCATTCTTATTTCAAATGTATAAACCGCTCATGGATTTTTGAACAATATTTTCATTAAAACAGTTGGGGGCCTGCGTGCCCGTGTTTGCCACGTGTGGCTAAGTATCAAACATATTATTATTTCCGCATTTGTTTGGTTATGATATTGATGTTGATTGTATGTGTTTACTAATCGGTTTGGCAATAGAATCAATCGAACGCCTTGTACAACTCAATATGGATGAACTGTTGTTGTTCTTATCGGGTTGTACGGCGGTTGTCTACGTGGCTCGGATGCGGTCCGGGGCGTGACATATCTTATACTTAAAAGAACTACATATCAGAGAATTTTCCCGCTCAATACCTAAAAGCACCACATATGATAGAAAATTTTCCCGCTCAATTTCTCTGCTCAATTGTTAGCAAGGTTATCTTCTCATACCTAGAAACACTATATATTAGAGGGAAAATTTTTCCGCTCAGTTATTATCAAACTTAATTTGCTAATAATTGAGCGATGAAACTTTCTCTCTCTCACACACACATATATATAGGATGTTTAGTTGTTTGGTTTTTGAATTTAATATAAGCGTTTTCCAACAAAAAAAAATATATTTTAGTTTTATTCTCCGTATCAAAGTAACTATAAGGTAGAACCTCTCCAATATATAGATATTTCTAAATAAATAAAAAATAAATTGTCTATGAACTTTTATAGTGACTTTGATATAATTTTAAACATAATTATAGAAACTAAAAATTAATAAGTCGTCTTTTTAGTCAATATCTAAAAGACTACATATGAGAGAGAAAATTCTCCTGCTCAATTATTAGATGGCTTGTCTTATACCTAAAAGAACTACTACATATATATGATAGAGAAATTTGTTTTCTCAATTGTTATCTTATACCTAAAAGCACTGCTTATGACAGAGAGAAATCTATCGCTCAATTGTTAAACAACTTATGGCTTAATCTTTTTCATATTTAAAATCTTATTCCTAAAAGCATTGCATATGAGAGAAAAACTTCTTCCGCTCAATTGTTAATCGGCTTATCTTTATATTAAAAAGCAAGAAAGAAAGCTCACTTGTTCAGTGGTTAGCAAGCTTATCTCCTTAGCTTCCTTTAACTAAAAGCAATACAAATTAATGAGCGAGAATATTATCATACTCAATTGTTAGTCAGCTTATCCTAATCTTAAACTTAAAAGACCTACATATGAGAGAGAAAATTATTCTGCTCGATTGTCAAGAAGCTTATCTCCTAATACTTAAAACTTTAAAAACACTACATATGAGAGAAAACTCCCCTCCCCGGTTCCTCCACTCAATTGTTAGCAAGTCTATCTTCTAATACCTAAAGCACTAAATATGAGAGAAATTTTTTCCTCTCAACTATTAACAGACTTATCTTTTACTTGAAATTAAATAACTACAAATGAGAGACAAATTTTTCTCACTAAATTGTTAGGTGGTTTATCATCTTATACCTAAAAGCACGATATATGATAGAAAACATTATCCCGCTCAACCGTTAACCGTCTTATGACATAATCTTCTTATACCTAAAATCTTATATACATAAAAATACTACAATGAGAGGAAAAAAAGTCCACTCATTTTTAATCGACTTATCTTACCACTAAAAGCATCACATAATTAGAGAAAAAATTTGGTTGCTCAATTGTTAGCCAGTTTATCTTATCTTATCTTATACTTAAAAACACTAAATATGAGAGAGCAATATTCTGTTCAATTATTAGATGGCTTATCTTATACATAATAACACTTATGTATACGCACGGGAAAGTGCAGTTGCTGTATATATCTTTATTCATGATCTAATTAAATATTAATTTTTTTTGAGGATTCTACATTTTTGAAAAATAAGAGTACAATGAGCTAATACTATAAAGTATAAGTCATACAATAAATATTTGATGAAGAGTCTATTAGGAATAATTCATCATCACTACTCATTAGAATTTGTTGCTTATTAATTTTCATGATTAAATTAATTTTAAAATTAAATATGATTCTTAAAAGTGAGTACTATAAGTGAGTGACATAAAGTTGATAAATCCAAAAACATGATCACAGAACAACACATAATTTTAAATGAAAAATGAGCATATAAGCATCTTTTTATTATATAAGGCTAGTTTGTTATTATAGTCACTAAATGTCAATAAAATGTGACTTATTAACTTTTAATGGTTATAACTATGTTTTAGTTTTATATCAAAGTAACTATAAAGAACTTGTCCAATAGATAATTGTGAATTAAAACTGATTAAATTGGTTATGAGTACACTTTTATGATCACGTACATACATATGAAATACCTTTTAAATATACTTATATTCGCTTATAGTTAATAATTCGTATTTTATCTGCCAATCTTATTCGAATCATACATTAGAAATTATTTACTTATCTAATACAGAACTATCTACATCGATGTTGGAAAATAGAAATGCTGATTAATAAAATTTCAGATTTTTTTAAAATTTTTTATATTACAATATTGATGTCAAATGAAAGATCATAAAAATCATGAAATTTGATATATGGTTTGTAAAGTTTGAAGTAGAAACAAAAAAATTATTTCACTTTAAAGAAAAATTGGTTTTTATTATGGCTCACAAATTACATATACTCGGCCTTTACTTTGGTGTGTTTAGGAGAAGGTGTAGGAGTTGCCACGTGTCATTATATAGTATGGGGAGTAAAATTTGGTGAGGATGACACGTATCATTTGTAGGGGTAAAAATGTATTTTAATGAGCTATTTCTTTTCTTATATATAAATAGAATAGACAAGCGTATATATTAACTTTTTGAAAATGAGTGAATATAATTTTATTCAAAAAGTTAGGTTCAATGTCAAATTCTACTTTATTTTCCCAAAGAACAAATTCTTCTTGATAGATTTACTAGAGAGCCCAACTTTTGCATTAATTAGATTGACAACGAAATAACTGAAATAAAGGAAATAAAACATTTTATGCCTTCAAAATGTCGTCTAATTTTCTGGGTCATTTATATCATCAAATACTTTGTTACTGTTCTCTCTATAATAAATATGTATCCTCTCAACCATCTTAATTCTTTGAAGCTTTATACTAACAGAACTTACGCCTCTTTGACAAATTATGCACAATTTTAGTGTCGAAATATGTTACATGTATTATAATCAAATGCTTTTTTTGAAAGATGTATTATAATAATAAAATGCTATTCATCATTTTCAAACTAAAATATTTAAATGTTTTTAAATGAAAGAGAATATATATGCTTTATAAGATATACTTTGGACTTTCAAAATCTTACTTTTTTACTTTAAATTTAGTGTTAGAGCACTTCCAACACACCTTATTGGGCAGCTCTTCATATCATCCTCACTATTACAAGTGATATTGGGACCATTGGGTATCCATTCTTGAAATGTAACTTGCCCAAGTGCTAAAGATGATTTATTCCCATTGCGGTTCTAGTTCAAAATCCGTACTGTTGAGGCTTGTTTTTTGAACCGCTACCAGAAATGATGCACAGTATCAGCCCAATCTTCATAACAGACCATCCAGGTTATTATTATTTTTAATGAGGCAAAAATCACACAAGAACCAGCATCTGAAATTGGAACTGGTTTGGGACCAGACTTGTACATGGAAACCAGGTCGCACAAGCATATCCAGAACTGGCCCAAGCCAGTCCCTACTGGGGACAATGAAAAAAGAATAAGGGCTTCACATTATAAATCCTTCATGTGGCAAAGAAATAAAAATGCTATAAGGACTTCAAGAATTAATGGAGTCGGGGTTATTTTTCATGCGTATGGTGCAACCAAGGACTTGCGAATGATGTCGCCATCATAATTTTTGTCACAAAATTAATATTAATTGCAAGAATGAATGTACATGTCATTGGAACATGAGTGAATTGTGTATATTTCTTGCTCCTACATGTACATTTTTCTTCTCAAACAATAGACTAGATGATTACCTCTATCTGAGGAGGGTTCTGGATAAGTTTATTACTGCTATACATACTTGTAAACTGAGCTGCTTGACTCATTCTAATATGAACCCAAAGAGCATTTATATGTAAATTATCATGGTAAAAGTATATATCCTACACAAAGCTACTCCAATTGGTGGTGTTTTTTCTCCCCAAACCAACAAGTCAATCACTTTGATGAACAAGGAGCAATCACTTCCACATGAAGCAAGTGGGAGCAGGGGCAAGGATGGAATTAGCCAGTTCCTCGTTCAACTCAACCGGGAGTGGTGGCATCCGAGATATGAAACTTTGTTGCTCATTAAGGCTGCATGCACATCAGATTTTCAAATCCACAGTAAAAAGAATACTCCATTCATCCCAAAATACGGTTTTTGATTTGAAATTCTAATTATGTGGTTGAGATTTATTCAAAGGTAAGTGAAATAATAAAAACCACACAACTCTTTCCATTAAAGAAAAAATGAACCTTAATTTGGGACAGGAGGGAGTAATAGAATAAATTCTGATTCTATGAGGTGGCAAGCTTCCAACTTTAGTAGCCAAATAATGGAAGGAACAAAGAAAAGGGCATGCTGTAGTATGTATGGGATTTGGGGGAGCTATATTATCCATATTTACTTGGTTAATACACTGAAGAGATTTTCGCGTGCATGACGCAAGAGAATAATGTTGTCCTGTATCTGCAAGAAACAATGTTTAAAAGAAAAATAATGGATTTAGAATAACTAAAGAATTTTCAAAAAACTTGTTGGGTTTAATGATGTAGGAATATAGAGAAGAGCCATATGCATCAATCAATAATTCAATATATTCTTCCTACTAGTGCTTAGAATAACTACCTCTAACTGGGCCTCCGGGGAACTTTCTTTTATAAACTTGAGTTTAGTGTAAGAATATTCTGATTTGCAGTAGAGCTCAATATATTCCTACTACTTTAGTTTGATGACGTTCAGTACTAAAGTTCATGTCTAACTATCTTTTCTAGAACAAGAGAACGATATATTGCGTCCATCCCACAGAGCATATTCTGATATGGAGCCATGGAGGTGCCACTTTATAAATAATACTCCCTCCGTCCCATATTTAACTCCGGTTTTGACCGGACACGGGTTTTAAGATAGTGGGATTTGTGTGGTGGAGAGTTATGCAGAGGAGAGAGAAATGTGTAAGAATGGTTGTGAACCACATATTCTTTACCAAAAAGGGAAAAAGGAGATAAATTTGGGACGGGCCAAAAAGGAAAGAATGAAGATAATTCTGGGACGGAGGGAGTACAGAGTATGATTTTGTACAAAATAATTTACAATATTAATGTGAATCACTGAAAATACACTTTTCATTAAAAATACGCTCATTAAAGTACACGTATATTATTTTCACCAAGATAATGCTGGTTAAAAACATGTGTAAAAATTCAGCATCTTTGACCAAAATACTCAATTGTGGCCTATCTTTGTGGAAAAGGGGAGTAACCTTTTTCTTTTTAGAACTACCTATATGAACAACATATGGTAAACTAACTACATTCATATGAAGCCATTGTAAGGGAAAAAAACTTGAGAGAGAGAGAGAGATGCCTGATTTGAAGTGAGATTTGTGGAGATCTGATCAAAGACCCTGGAGTTATGCTGAAGAAGCTGTACAGTTGCTACAAAAAACAGCCTTTCTTTCATTAGTACAAAAGAGTTTTGCAATAATATTACTGCTACAACAACAGCTGAACACTATACAGCTCAGAAAGTCACCCTCCCAAGGGATGGATGATACTACGTATATAATTAACTCAACTTACATACGGAGTACAACATAAGTACTTTGACCATATCTTTACCTGCTCCTCACAAGTCACAAGTAATAATAAAATAGACCTGACTGCTAATTGCACCATATACAGATGCTGAGCTGCCTATGATTCTGTCCATACTTTTATTTTTGGGTGGGTGGGGGTGAGTTCAAGAGCTAACATAGGCAGGTAGCGTGATCTCAATAATGGTTAGTCGGCTACTAGATAACTTCTGGAAAATAATATACTTTTATAACTGGTAAAGTAAAATAGAAGTTGAAATAATTTGGCTTACCATTGAACAAGGCTGGATTTCCGTTGTTATTGCTTGCTGTCCATCCGGGGGAGTAAATCAACTTAGCCTGAGATATAAGAATTAAAGTTTCTTAAACCTGAAGACGTTTTAATTTATTACGAAATAATACATTTTGAGCAAGGCAAGGGAACAACTCAAAGAATTAATGATTTTATAATACTAAAAAAATAATCTCTTTAGGAGTGATTGTGTTGAGTTCTGCTTTTTTCTTAAAAACTTATGGCACCAGTCTGTCTAGCATTCTCATTGGATTTAGATTTTCCAATACATACAACCACTATATAGCATAAAGATGACATAATAATGAGATGACTAGCTGACCTTTTTATCAGCGGTCATCTTCCTAATTGGAATCGAATCCTTTTCCATTTTTTTCTCGCTCTCTCTTTTCTACATAGAAAGGGCAAACAACTCAATCAGCCTTATTATTATTATATCTACCCATCTTTAATAACAGAAAAACTTTAAAACTTTTCTTCTCGTGAGGGCAGTAATAATTGAATAATAAATTTATTATCCAAAACGGTGGGCGTGAAAATTAAAACCACTTACAGCCATCCATCTACAACGCAATGCCACATCACGGACTGTCTTGTTATTCAGCTGCAACGAAATTTTTGCATAGCGAGCTATGTTTGTCGAATTATATGCTGCATACCTGCAGCGAGTATATTGTATAAGGCTTTTTATCTAAAAAAATACTTGTGCATGCATAGTGTTTGCCAAAGATGCAGATGCAGCAGAGGCATTTAAGTGGCATGCACACATACCAGCAAAAGTGGCTTAGAGAGCTACTTGCTGTAAGAGTTCCCATATTGTTGCAACTCATTTCATGTTTAACCATCAAATTCACTGGTTCTATTTTTTAACAATTCCATAATAATAATAAATGCTCATATAGCAGTATGAACCACATCTTGTGTGACAAGCCTTATTAGGAATAGTAATAATACTACTATAGTACTATGTAAGGAATCATATACATTAGTAATATCCCTTGATTATGCACTGTTTATTTTCAAAACAATAATATAGTTCTTCATTCTATCATACAACTTCTACAAGCCCAAATTTAAGCATACATATGAGGCTCATCATGCAACATCTAAGGCAGGACAGCTAATCTAGTAATCTGAACTGTAGAGCTAGATAAAAGGAAGGATATATTGAGTGGGTCCCAAGAAATTTATGAAAATCTAATGGCGTCACACAAGATTCCCTCATTATGAGTGGAAGGGCGATTCTCTCCCTGGAAAACTAAGAATACAACCTTAAAGTATAAAATAACATAACAGTTGACAGAAGTATGCTCCCGATCTCCCATTCTTATAGAAGAATGGATATATTCTCATATTCCTAAAATTTAATAATCCAAGAAAGCATTTTAAACAATCAAACACAAACAATCAGAAACTACACATAAGCCAAGACAGAAACAGAACTTACAATCAAACATGAATTGAAGCACAAAAACCCTCATACATACGTGCATACCTACACCCATACATGTTTTTATATACTCATTATAAATTCAATAATACCATGAAGAGAAAAGCATGATGGCTAAACTGCAGTATTTAATTACACATTCAATACCAGACAATACAAACAAGTTAATCCCAAATAAGCTCACATAAACACGCTGCTCTGACAGGCACAACCTAAATCCCAAAATTCAAGATATGAAAGATAACCAAAGCAAAAGAAAAAGAACAAGAAAAACAAGACATTTACTTACTTGGCAAGACACTGTTCCAGTATAGCCTGCTCTTCATCACTCCAGTCCGAATTAATCTGCTGGTTATTCTGGAATTTCATGGGCCGGGCTTCAAACCCACCCGAACCCGAACCAGGGCTCTCCACTCCGCCCGTACCCATCATCACCCCATTACTTACACCCTCCATTCTTTACATCCCAATAAATAAAAGAGGCGGCTTTTTCATACAACCTAAAACCACAACCCTTTGTTTGTTTTCGCTCTGTATCTCTGTGATTCAGATTATTTTACACACACGACAAGTGCAGGCATAATTCAAGAATGACAGAAAGGGCGCCAAGAAAGCCCCGTTTTTGGAGAAATCTGAGAGAAAAGGGCAGAAACAAGAAAACAACAGCAAACAGCTGACAAGTCAAACCAGAAAATTGGGTCTTGAAATTAGCTGAAGGGAGCATGGGATGTATGGAGTTTTGTTTGTGTCTGGGCGGGGTTGCATCCTCAATGGAAAAAAGGAGGGAATCTGAGGGAGAACGTAGAATAGAGTTTATATGAAAAAAGAAGAACTATGTATACGCGTAAACGCGTGCGCGTATATGTATAGGCTTGGGAATGCACTGTACATGATTTTGTACTGTGTACTGTCTATGAGTGTGTTCTGCGGATGTACGGGCGTCCAGCTAGGCCGTGTTCAGGTTTTTAAAATTTCAACGCAGCACAGATTAGTGGTCCTCCTTTAGGGTTTAAAGCGAATCTAATAGTTTGAGAGGGTGTTTTTATTTTTTGAGCAAGTGTTTGGATCTACTTCTTGAAACTCTTTATGTTCATTCAGAATATAAATGTATAAATTAGAGTATTTGGTTTAAAATGAATATGTATTTAATTTTTTGAGTACTCCAAATTGCTCCTAAAATAAGTTTTTAGAAGTTAAAGGAGATCAGTTTCTGAAAAATTGATCATGTTTATAGTTTTTAAAAAGAAGCAGAAACATAGTCAATTTCAAACACCCCTTAATGTGATTGAAATATATGGAGAGGAAAAAATTATAAGTAAATAATATTTTGCAAATAATGGCTTACCCTATGGGGAGCCTTGAGCATATATTTATAATAATAGAAGTTTACAAGAATTACAAATATGTCCTGAAACTATGTATTATTAAACACTCTCTCAGTCTGTGCAGATGAAACAACGTGCAAATTGGATCTCAAAAACTCAAATCGTTGACAAGACAAGTTCTTTGTAAAAATATATGTCAGTTGGTGCTGAGTAGGAACATATTTGACAACAAGGTCCCCATGAGCCACATGTTCACGAACAAAGTGGTAATCACTTTTTATATGCCTTTTGCGATCATGTTTGATAAGGTTGAATGCCAGGTAAGAAGGTGAGACATTACCACAATGCAGTTGAACTGTAGCTAAAATAAAAGTACCCATGTCATCGGCCAGTAAGGATTGAATAAAAATAATGTCCTAGACAGTATAAGCAATAGCACCGTATTCCGCCTCTCTAGAAGATTTGGAAACCGTGGGTTGCTTATTGGAACGCCATGAAACAATGTTATTGCCCAGAAATGTTGCATAGCTAGTAGTGGACCGACTAATATCCAGACAACCTCCACAATCCGCATCAGATAAGCAACAATAAGGGAAATACAATGATCGGACTGAAGCCAAAGACCATGCATCAATATACCCTGCAAGTACCTGTAAATTCTATTGATAGCAGAAAGATGAGAGGTATGTGGAGCATGCATAAACTAAGAAACCAAATGTACGACATAAGTAATATCAGGTCTAGAAATTGTTAAATTTTGTAAGACACCTACCATGCTCGTGTACTCTGTGGCACAAGTTAAGAGTTATCCATCTATAAGAGATAATGTAGTACGAGATGGTAGGGGTGTCACGCCCCAGACCTACCCGGACACGTCAACAACCCGCCGTACAGTACGAATAGCCAATCGCAGTCCAACTCATCCATACTATACAAGGCGTCTTGAATACCATTCACACATAGTACATCCATAAACAAACATAATGTAAAATAAACATTTATAGCAGCGGAAACATTTAACACAAGTGTTTATGCCACACATTGGCAAACATGTGCATACAAGCCCCCAAATAATTATTCAAAACAATATCCATGAGCATTATTTAAATTGTTTTCAAAATAGAAACGGAAGAAGCACGAACCACGTCTTCTTCCTTTGATCTTCCCGAAGCAACGGGCAGTGGCAGCAACCTTCAAGTTCTACCTGAAAATGTGAGGTGACCTCCCCCGTGAAGGGGAGGTCAGTACTTGGAAATATTTGACAAGTACAATAGCAACTATACTAAGTATAATTGACGTTTCAATTTCTAAGACCCTCAATTCAGGGTGATACTACATTATAGGCCATAACCCTCGGTTACACCCTTTTTCTGTTTAAATTATACTCCCTTATTATGAAGTCAAGAAGTCGGCCCGTGGGCCCTTATCCATTTAGGGTTTATCATTTCCATTCCCCCGTGACCGCGAGCCACGATAACCCCGTGGGGTCCCATCGAGCCCCAATTGTATAGCATGGGCTCGGCCCAACTACATTTCTATATAATCCTCTAACTCAATATAACATATCAAAATTTGTATGGCAAAGGCTCGGCCCAACTACGTTTCCATACCAACCATAACTTCGTGGCAAGGGCTCGGCCCAACTACGTTTCCACGGAGATCACATACACATGGCAAGGGCTCAGCCCAACTACGTTTCCATGCTAATCATATTACATGGCATGGGCTCGGCCCAACTACATTTTCATGTCGTCCTAGAGTCCAACTCTAATTATTTTCATAATCAAATTCTCAAGCAAATCCTATGCCTAGAATCAATTTCCGTAGGTAGCCTTTAGGCCTACCCCTATCACACCTTAGTGTTCATACAATTCAACCTTAAAGTATCTCTTGAGACTACTTAAGGCATATCTATTCACAATCCTACCTCTTAGGATTTGTTTCATCATTTATTTATATTAATTTCTCGACTAGTATTTTGATACTAATTGGATAATCTTAGAACATGCCAAGTTCCTATTTTACAATTGGCATTTTCATTTCAATTGATTTTTCCAACACAAGTATAGTTTGATCTCAATATCAAAAATATCACTTTAATCCATTCATGAATTTCATACACGACGTAAAGTATATTTTATCACAATGTCATCATAGTAATTCCATTAACATGCCGTTCCATTCATTTCACATAATCATACACAATTATTCTAAATTTGTATATAATGCTTCACTTACTCATATCAATATTATTTTCATTTAGGCATTATTAATCATTAATAATCCATGAAAATCCCATCTAATTACTTTAGGCAATCTTATGAAATTAACCCACTAATTATAAGCAATATAGTCAGTCATCCTCACCTCGTGATGTGCTACAATAGTTGCCTTTGTTAAGTACCTCGATCAATCCCCGTTCTAGGCCGATTGAAAGTGAAAAACTGGATTCCTGGGCCAAAGCCGGGCGGCTTTCACGAAAGCCGGGCGGCTTTCGTAGTCTGCAACTACGAACAGCTCCTTTGGAGTGGCGGTTTCCGGCGATTTCGACTCCTATCGATTTGCCAACCCTTCTAAGTTAATTACCACCACTTCATATCAATATTCTACACTTTTAAACGTGTGGAACTCATGGTTTAATCCACCATATGATTCCTTAAAAATCATACACAAAAACTAGTTAAAGAAAATACTAGTTGAGCTCCTACCTCAAACTCAAGCCTTTTCTTTTTGGATTTCCTTCTTCCTTTGGTTCTTCAAGCTCAGGAATATTCTGAGATCTTCTCAAGTCTCCTCCCTCTCCCTCTCTTGTGTGAGTTATCCGAATGATTAGAGTAGGAGTGGGGGAGTAATCTTTACTCTCAACCCAATCACTCTCATGAAGAGTCCAAAGGAAATTAATGGGTGAGGGTGAGTTTGTCTCCATGAGGCTTCCCCTATTATTTGATCAATCAGCACCCCTAAAACGTGGGGTGGCCCCCACTTATGTGGGAGGTCATCCCATTATGTCCCGGTGTGTACAATCGGCCCCGAAAGTTGTATTTCTCGGCCCGTTTTAATCATATTTTATTTTACCGGACCAAATAAAATATATCACGCGTCCCAACAATTTTGGGCCTTTAGAATAGATGTACATCCCCCGATATTAATTTAGGAGCCTCCGAAACTCATTTCGAGCTGTTATCCGCTAAATCACCAATACCGGTAATTGGGCCCCGTTTGACCAACCGGTCAACTCCATGCCTCTCTTATGGCCCAAATAAAATATTCAACTCCATATAGATGTCATCTAGACCAAGATGAGTATAATATGTGGTTCGGGAATTATCGGGCGGCCCCCCGGTCCCGGCGTGGGCCCCACATGCAATCTACTATTCACGTAAAAGAAATAATAAAAATTTACAATTACGCAAATTCATAAATCATCCTTCAAGGTTTATTACATAATTTACCTAAAGTAAATATGCTTGGGGACGGTGCTACAAGGGGAGTCCGGGCTGGCTTAGTTGTGTGAAGGTGGAACCATCACAACAAATCAGTGACATAATTATGTTGTGAAAGAAAGAGGCCCTGAGACGTGCGATGAGCCTGAATCCCCAGAAAGTAGGGAATGTCCTCTAAATCTTTCATAGCAAATTGAAGAGGAGGTGTCATCCATCTTGTGTGAAAAAACCTAGCATTCTGATACCATATACGAAAACAATATTTTGCAAATAATGGCTTTCCCTATGGGGAGCCTTGATCATATATATTATAATAATAGAAGTTTACAAGATCTTTCAAAAAAAGAATAGAAGTTTACAAGAATTACAAATATGTCCTTGAACTATGTATTATTAAAAATTAACAAGAACCACAAAATTCTTTATTTAAAAGAGAAAGTTACAAAGTTAATAGTACAATCAAAAAAGGGAAACTGACAAAGTTATATGGTACAGATGTAATATTAATATTAAGATGTATGTATGAACTAGATGATATTATTTGTATATGAGTCGATTTATGTTGCACGATGAATAAACAAGTTGAGTTGAGTTATTATGGATTGTTGAAACTCGTAATGTCCTTTTTTAAAGAAAGAGGTACTTTCGTTGCTTGAATTATATGAGCCGATTTATGTTGCACGCTGAATAAACAAGTGTGTGTATACATACACACACATATATATCCAAATATATATATATATATATATATATATATATATATATATATATATATATATATATATATATATATATATATATATATATATATATATATATATATATATATATATATATATATATATAGACACACACACAAAAATTAAAAGTGGAGGGTGGAGATGTGACTATATAACACAAGTTGAGTGTGGAAAAGGGAAAATAAATTCTCAAACTAGGAGTAAAACAAGGTAAAAGGAGAAAAATAGGAGTACTTGTTTAAAATATCCATAATAAGAGTAAAAGATAGTGAGTGGATAAAATATCATTTTAGTGTACATGAAGGACAGTAGCTCTTGAACAACGGTCACGGCTAGATCTCATTTAGAC